GAGAAAGCGAGGCGGGAAACCTCTGGGATTGGATGAGTGAAATGATAGACACATGCCGATTGTAGGATAACAATGACAATGAGGGAATTGTGGTCTGGGTCCTGGTGCATTGGTTGTGCCCTGAGGGACCTGGAAGAAGGGAAGTTACACCACTTGACATTCCCAAGGTGTGTTATCATAGATGCAAAAAAAAAAAAAGGCTCAGTTAAGGTCAGAGATGGTCTGTGAAGATACGGCCTAGGACTGGACTACCCACCATGAACTGCTTTTAGTGAAAGCTTTCATTTCAGACCATCCATTGTGTTGGGGTTATTTGAGGTCTCTGAGTTTGCAAGACCTCCATGCAGGCCTCCCCTGAGCTTGTCAGGTCAGCATGTGGCCCCTTTTCTTTCTTTCTTTTGTTAAAAAAATATATATTTTTTTATTGATTTCAGAGAGGAAGAGAGAGGGAAAGAGAGAGAAACATCAATGATGAGAGAGAATCATTGATCGACTGCCTCCTGCATGCCCCACACTGGGGATCGAGCCCACAATCCGGGCATGTGCCCTGACCGGAATCAAACCTGGGACCCTTCAGTCCACAGGCCGATGCTCTATCCACTGAGACAAACCGGCTAGGGCGGCCTGTGGCCCCTTTTCATCCACACATCGATGTGAGAGAGAAATGACGATTGGCTGCCTCCTGCACGCCCCTACTCGAAACCTGGGCTTGTGCCCTAACCAGGAATCGAACCAGCAACCTTTCGGTGGGTGGGAGGACACCCAACCAACTGAGCCACAGCGGCCAGGGCTGGAGGGTCACCTTTCCTCGGTCAGCTGGTTGCAGATGTGAGCCACGTCTGCTGCAGGCCTCCCAGCAGCCCCGAGGCGAGGTTTGCTGGCAGCTGGGCACCAAGGCCTGGCCAGACTCACAGCGTGTGGCCGTGCTGACAGGAAAGGGTGCCATGGGAAAGCGCTTCTTGTCTGCCGGGGGTGGGGGCCGTGTCCCTGTGAGTCACTCCAGTGGGTCCTCCTTGGTTCAGCAGCCCAGACCTTCCTTCCTGAGTGCCGGGCAGCGTGGGGCTGAGTGCTGGGCAGGGCAGGGCAGGGCAGGGCTGACCCGGGAGGGGAGAGGCAGCTCACAGCGCTGCCCTGTGCTTTCCTGGCGGGGATGGGGCTGACTGACCGCACAGGGGGTTCGCAGGAGCGGTAGGAGCCCAAGCTGTGGAATGTGCCTGAGACAGAAGGCCCGGCAGCTATAGAAGAGCCTGCTTTGTTTGAACTCACCTGACCGGTCCGATGAGACCCTGGTAGACGATGGGGATGCACAGACAGGGTCCTGAGGGATGGGCCTGCGCCAGCACCCAGGGCTCTAGGGGCCTGAGAGGGCTGCAGGATTGAGCGCCGAGGGACACGGCACAGCAGGGCTCGAGGGCCTGGTTGGCTGGGGCAATCCCAGAGGGCCCCTGGAGGAGGGGATCTATAGGACGAGGAGGAGCCACTGTGTAGAGTGGGGGAAAGTGCATTGCAGGCCCTGGGGTGGCAAAGAGCCTGGCATGTTCCAGAAGCCAGAGGTGGCAGAGGGCTGGCACAGCGCCGTGCGTTCCCCGTGGTTGCCACTAACATTCCTGTACTGAGCGCTTGCTGGGGGCCAGAGGTTAAGTCGTTACCGGGTGGTGTTTCCAGGAAACCTTTGCCACTTGTTCCAGGTCACAAAGTTAAGTCAGAGATTCACTTCTCCGGTCACAGGGTGTCCCCCCTGCAAAGCCTTCGGGGTCTTCCCTGGTCCCTCAACCCACAGTGGACTTGCCTGCTTTCTGACCCCCTCCCCCAGCTGGGAGCTCTGTGGGGTCGGGGGTCCTGGTCTGCTAGGGTCAGTGTCCCCCGACCTGCTCCACAGGTGAAGGGAGGAGAGAGCGGAGCAAGCGTGGGTCACAGCCCTCCCGTGCCCTGCAGTCCTCCTCCAAGCCGCCGCGTGCCTCCGAGCACCCCACCTGTCCCTGGGCACAGGGGTGCCCTGTTCCTGTCCTCCCTGGGGACCATGGCCCAGGGCAAGTTCAGCAGCGGTTGGAGCTGCTCCCACTGTTAAATGTTAGGGACCCTTCATGCTGGTGTGAGACCCAGCCATTGTAGGAAAGTTAGTTACGTAAACTTGGGCGGAGTCAATTGTATTTAAGGCAAAGGTACAAATACTCAAAACTCACCCCCCCCCCCACACACTCCTTTACGCCTTCCACCGCCTCTGCTGTGGATGCGACTGCACCGTCCTGTCTGTGTGTAGAACGTTCTGTAACCCAGGGCCAGGGGCCTCTTCTCCAACTCCTGGAAACTGAGGGCTCTGGGAGCCTGGGGCGGGGCTGGCATCGCCCGGGTCCGAGGAGTGAGGGGGGGTTGCCTGGCAGTGAGGAGGGGCTGGCCGGCCAAGCAGAGGAAGAATGGGTCACAGCACCGACCTGCTCATACCCACCTCTGCCTCTGTGTCCTGAGCTGCCCCTCCCACTGGCTGTTTTCAGAGATCACAATTGAGCTCCAGTCCCTCGGTGCAGCTGCGTGGGGATGGAGCCAGGTGCAAGGGGGCGGAGCCAGCTTCAGGGGGTGGGGCGAGCTGCACAGGGGCGGAGCCAAGATGGGAATCCTGGGCTGTGTGGTCCTGGGTTGGAGGTCTTTGCAGGACACTGCCCTGGAGGGTCACCTGTAGGCAGACTCCCCAGCAAAGCCTGCAGGCCATGTCATGGGGGCCGGTGCACCCCGGGAGTGGGCTGTCCCAGAATGAGGCTGACCAGCCCCTCTGCAAAGGCACCACGCCCTGGGCTTCCTTCCTGCCGGCTCAGGAAGGCGCTGGGCTGTGCCTGGCCTTGGTGAGTACCAGGGGGTGAGAGGGTAGGGCCGCCCTCCTCCTGGGGAGCCTTCAGGAGCCAGGGGTCAGGGGTCGTCTGTGTCCTGCTGCTACAGCGAGCACATGGGGCGGCGACAAGAGCCCTGGATGGAGCAGGGGTGACTCTGCCTCATGACCGTGAGCAAGTTTATCTTGAGCCGGTTTCCCAGCAGCCACGAGCAGGGCCCCTCACCCCTCCCAGCTGGAGGCAGGGCACCCGGCCAGGTGAGGCGGACACTGGACCACAGAGCCGGAGCCGGAGGGGGGAACAGGTCTGGGCCGGCAGGTGCCTCCTCACTGACCCTCCCCAGCGCACAGCCCGCAGGCCCAGCTCTGTCCTTACAGATGAGGGGCCAGGACCAGGCCAGGACGGGCCCGTGCTGGCCCGGGACTTGATCTTAGCCCAACGGCCCCAAACCTCGCTCCGGGAGGCCTGTGCCACTGAGCCTGTTCTGGTAGGTTTCAGGGCCTCGTGATTCTCAGATCTGACCAGCACCCCATCATTGTGACCGGCCTGCAGGGCTGCCAACTCAGCAGGGACCCCCTGCAGCGCCCTCCCTCCCGGCGGGCCCCACCTGCCTTCCCTGCTGTGGAGTGGCTCCTGCAGGTGGGGGCAGGTGGGGGAGCACCCCCATCGGCAGGGTAAGGATCACTGAGGGTCCCGGCTGGCCCTGGCTCGCCAGCCCACCCCTGAGCGGGCGCCGTAGACCCCCCGGGGCAGGAAAGGAGGGCACCTCCGCCTCTCCGAGGCCTGGCCCTGCTTCCTGAGCTGCCCCTCCCACGGCTGTTCTCAGGCGCCAGGACGGAGGCCTTGCTCTTGTTCATACGTGTGAACCGCCCCCAGCGGCACCCAGGGCCGGGGTCTCTGCGTCGCACACTCCCAGTGGGTACTTGCTGAGCCCGTGGGAACCATGCTCCTTTCTCCCGCCCTTTCATGTCTCCACTGTCCCCGGGGGGACTGTGATGTGGCCGGGACATGGCGCTGCTGTCTGCAATGACAGTCCCCGTCTCTGTGGGCGGAGCAGCTTCCTCCGCCTCCAGGAAGCCCCCACCACGGCACCCTGCCCGGCAGCTCGGGATCCATCTTCCTGCTGCTCCTTCAAGTTCGCAGCAGCAGGCCCATGGCCCCTTCCCGGTAGAGACCAAGACTAGCCTGCTGGGGCGGGTATGTGCCTGGGCGTCTCCGTGTGTATTCCTGTTGTGTGTCTCCGTGTATGTCCATGTAGGTGCGTGTCTGTGTCTATTTGTGTGTCTCTATGACTGTGTGTGTCTGTGTGTCTGTGACTGTGTGTGTGTCTGTGACTATGTGTGTGACTGTATGTGACTGTGTGTTTCTGTGACTGTGTGTGTGTGCATGTCTCTGTGACTGTGTGTGTTTCTGTGACTGTGTGTGACTATGTGACTGTGTGTGTGTCCATGTCTTTGTGTGTGTGCATGTCTCTGTGACTGTGTGTTTCTGTGACTGTGTCTGTGACTGTGTGTGTGTGTGACTGTGTGTGTGACTGTGTGTGTGTCTCTGTGACTGTGTGTGTGACTATGTGACTGTGTGTCTCTGTGACTGCGTCTGTGACTGTGTGTGTGTCTCTCTGTGACTGTGTGTGAGTGTCTCTGTGGCTGTGTCTGTGACTGTGTGTGATTGTGTGTGATTGTGTGTGTGTGTATGTGTGTGTACTGAGATCTTTGAGCTCAAATTCTATTAGGAGGGACTTTTGTGACTCAGGACGCAGAGGCTGGGGGACAGGGAGGGTTCAAAATCAGGTCCGGGCTTCGTTGCTCGCTCTCCACGCCTCCTCCTTGTCTGTGAAATGGGCCACAGTAAACCCCTGCCCCTCCTCGGACGGCACCGTGGGCACAGAGCGCCGTGAGCCTGTGCACTAGTCCCTGGCCCAGCTGCTTCGGGGCCGGAGGGCGTCCCAGTCCCTGGTGCGCTGTGACCCGGGCTCCCAGTGGGAGCTGCGTGACCGAGTCTCTTTCCTCCGGGCTCCCAGCAGCAGGGTGGGCGTGACAGGGAGGCAGGGGGACCCGGACCGAGCCCACGCAGCCGAGGGCGTCCCCATGCACAGCAGCCCTGCCTCTTGTGGGCCCGGCCCCCCCCCCTCGCGTGCTGAGGTGCTCACGTTCCCCTGGGGTTTCCTTTTCTTTGAAGAGACACCTGTCGCCCGCGGAGTTCCAGGAGGTGTTCGGGATGAGCGTGGAGGAGTTCGACCGCCTGGCGCTCTGGAAGAGGAACGACCTCAAGAAGAAGGCCCTGCTGTTCTGAGGCCGCACCCACCCCGCGCCGAGGCCGAGCCCGCAGAGCCGGCGCCACGGCACCACGCACACCCTCCCGTCGCGCTGCCTCCGGCTCCTCTGTGCCCACAGGGCGGGCGGGCGCCTGGGCGGGCAGGGGGCCGAGGGTGGGGCGGGAGCAGGTCCCACAGCACCGCGTGCACCTGAGATCCTGCCTGTAGTTTAGGGCCCTGGCGCCTGGCTTTGCACCGCCCCTTCCCCGCTGTGCTGGGCACCAGCGAGATGCTGCAGAGTGGCTGTCCCCGGGGAGGGAGGGGCATTTAGACAGCAGCCCGCCCTCCCCGCCCTGGGGGCACGGAGGGGACCAGGACCTGGGATCTGAGGGGGCTTGTCAGGGACAGGCCCGGACACCATCACAGGGCTCCAGTGTCCGCTGGCCCCAGAGGGCACTGGCTCGTGCCCACAGCCCGGGGGCCCAGGGCGGTGCCAAGTGTGGGGTGATGCGTGTTGCCGCTGGTGGTGGCACAGGGCCCTCCTCCGGGCCCTCGCGCACGCGCGGTACTCCCACGTCACCCCCGATGCCTAAAGGATATCTTTAAAGTAACACAAAGTTTTATTTTACTAAGAAGCGTAGCCTGCGGGCCCTGAGGCGACATATATGGAGAGTTTAGTTTGCAGCCCCCTGGGGGCTCCAGCCTCAGCCCCGCCCCTCCGCGCTGTGTGGTCTCCGTCCTCCGTGTCCCTAGTACATGGACTCCTCGTCTGTTTTCTTTTTACTTCTCTTTCTTTCGTGCCTGTCACACGGGTCCCCCGAAAGGCAGAGCCCCCCCCCCCCCAGTGCTGTGTGTACGTGCGTGTGAAGTCTGCGTCCGGCGATGTCCTCGCTGTTATTCTCCACGTCTCGGGGCGGATCCACCTCCCCGCCGGCCAGGGCCCCGGGATAGGACTCCCGTGGACTCAGCCCGACGCCCCGTGTGGCTTTTTGGTGACGTGGCCAGCGGCACCCCACCTCCCCACAATGGAACACGCACCTGTGGCCCGGAGCCATGCCTCATGGGTGGTCCTGATGGGGACACCGGCCCTCGGCGCAGAGGCTGCGACACTGTCCGATCGGCCGGTCGGCAGAGCCTGGGCAGAGGCCTGCGGTCGCGCTGAGAGGCGCGGGCTGTCACCAGGGGTGGGGTGGGTGCGGTCCCTGTCGCCGTGTTTGTGAAGTGCCTCGAGAGGCCTGTGGGAACCAGCAAGGCGTCGCCCGTGTCCGTTCCCGGCGTCCTGTGGAGCCGCATCCCCGTGTGTCCTGGCCGTCCCGCCCGTGAGTCAGCCTCGCTCAGCTTCCTCCCAGCCCCGCACACGCCAGGCTGTGGCACCCGGCTCCGCGCCAGCCCGGCCCGGCCAGGGAAGGGAAATTCTAGCACCTAACGCGCTTCCGTCCACTTAGCGAGCTGAGCCCGAGCGACTGGAAATCCCCGTCTCATTTGTGCGATGTGGGGCCCGGGAACCTGGGAAATAAAGGACGGTGTGTTCTAACTGTGAGTGCCAAGCGCTTCTTAGAAACGCGGCCCTTCCTAGCGGGCCGGGCCCTTCTCTGATGGTGCGTGGAGGGTCGCCCCGAGAGCTGGCACTGGGCGTGGGCATAGTGTGGGGGATGCCATTAGGGGCTGGACCAGGAGGTGGGATGGGGGGAGCCAAAGGCCTGGGACCCCTGCTTGCTCCAGGGCGTGGCTCAGCCGGGCTCTAGGTGACTTTTTTTTTAATACATGTTTATTGATTTCAGAGAGGAAGGGAGAAGGGGAGGGAGAGAGAGAAACATCAATGATGACAGAGAATCATGGATTGGCTGCCTCCTGCACGCCCCCCACTGGGGATCAAGCCAGCAACCTGGCATGTGCCCTGACAGGAATCAAACCCAGGACCCTTCAGTCCGCAGGCTGACACTCTATCCACTGAGCCAGGGCTAGAGTGACATTTGAAAACATCCACAGGATCATGCCAGGCTCTCAGTGGCTACCCTCTACAGCCCCACTCGCCACCCCACCCCGTGGGGTCCTGGTGTCTGTCCCTCCTGTCACGGCTACGCTGCTTGTCTCTCTCTCTCTCTCTTTTTAAAATATCTTTTATTGATTTTTTACAGAGAGGAGGGGAGAGGGATAGAGAGTTAGAAACATCGATGAGAGAGAAACATCGATCAGCTGCCTCCTGCACACTCCCCACTGGGGATGTGCCCGCAACCAAGGTACATGCCCTTGACTGGAATCGAACCTGGGACCCTTCAGTCCGCAGACTGACGCTCTATCCACTGAGCCAAACCGGTTAGGGCTGCTTGTCTCTTCACACCTGCCGGGTGCCACCAGGTTCTTCTTTATCTGGTCATTGACGCTGCCCTCTCCCGGCGGCACACCCGGGAGGCTGCCGGTCCCAGGCCAGTGCCCTGACCTGGGGATGCCACTGGGGTTGATGGTGGACACTGCTCGCCCTGAGGCTTCTCAAGGCCTCGGTGCTTCCAGAACAGCTCGGCCCGAGGACGCCTGTGATGATGGGACTTCCGTACCCACGCTGTCCAATACGGTAGCACACGTGTGGCCGTGTGACTGGGGAGCTAGGGTGTACATGTCTAAGTTTCAGGAGCCAATGTGGCTAACACTGCAGGTTAGACGGTGTGGCTGCCCTGCCCTGGCCCCTGGCGCCCCCAGGAGCCCTGGGATCTCCGCGCCGTCCAGCCACGAGTGTGCCCTGGGTGCCCGGGATACGAGGTCAGTTTAGAGCGCTCGTGCCCAGCGCCTGTCTGTGCCCAGCACTGCCCTGGGTGTGGAGGCGCCAGGCACAGTCCCTGCTCCAGAGCGCGGGGTGCGCGGAGCCCCGCTTGCCCCGGTGCTAAGGGCCTGCACCAGCCACATCTGGCTCAGTTCTGCACGCCAACCTTTGCGTCTGCCAACAGCACCCACCTTCCCGAATCGTCCCCAGCCTGGGGTGTCAGGAACCCCAAGGCAGATGGGCAGGGAGGTGTCAGAGCCTGCAGCCTCCTTTCTGGACCCTTCTCCCCCGGTGGCTGTACGTTCCAAGCTACTTAAACCCCAACCCAAACCCCAGAGTTCACTGAGGTGGAGGGAGAGGGTGTGTGTGACACACCAGCAAGTCCTGGGCTGGCTCAGAGGTGACTCGTGCCACCTTCAGGCGGCCCGTTGGCCGGAACTTGTCCCATGGCCCCACCCGACTGCAAAGGGGTCTGGGAAACGCAGGCACCGGTGTGGCAGAGGGGAGAAGGCCCGCGCTGTTGGTGAGCAGTGCTTTTCCCAAGGGTATTTTTCCCACTGATGTTCAGAGAGAGTGAAAGGGAGGAGAGAAGGAGAAACATCCATGTGAGAGCAGAGCACCCATTAGCTGCCTCCTGCACGCCCCGCCAGGGATCCAGCCCGAATCGGACCAGCAACATTTGGGTTGACGCCCAAGCAACTAAGCCACACTGGCCAGGGCCCACCCATGGTTTATCAGCAGTTCTCAACCTGTGGGTCGAGACCCCTTTGGCGGTCGAATGACCCTTTCAGAGGGGTCGCCTAAGACCATCCTGCATATCAGATATTTACATGGCAATTCATCACAGTAGCAACATAACAGTGATGAAGTAGCAACGAAAATAATTTTATGGTTGGGTCACAACATGAGGAACTGTATTTAAAGGGCCAGAAGGTTGAGAACCACTGCTGTGAGACAATAAGCCTCAGTTGTTCAAGCCGCTGGGTTTGGGGGCCTTGGTTACATAGCAACAGGTGACTGCAGCGGGCTGTGGGTTTTCATCGCATCGGTGAGCTGACGTCCCATCCCAAACCGGACCTGGATTTCCCACAGGCACCCAAGCGGCTGACCTCTGCCCCCCTGAGCCCCCGAATCCAGGAAAACTTCAGGGAGCGCCGTGGAGGGCAGCTCACCTGGGCCTATACACAGCTTGTAATTTATTTTTTTCTAAAGAGAAATGTCACTGGGAGAGTCGGGGAGGAGGTCTCGGGGCACTAAGCCACCCACTTCCCCTTCACAGTGTCCGACGAGGTCAGGAGTCCCCCCCCAACCCCCCCCAGAAAGTGCCGGTCCAACTCTTAGATCACTAAACCCCAATTTATTTCCCATCGAACGGACACGGCATGGGAAAGACTGGGGCCAGGAGGGACTGGGCTTACGTTCTGACGTTACAAAGAGGTCTCCGAATTTCAGTTCCTACACGGAAAAGCGTCCTCATCACTGGGACACCTGCCGGGCTGGCTCCCTGGTGGATGCAAGCCCACGTCGGAGACACCGCGGAGGAAGGAGCAGCGGGCGGGTTTATTCATTCACAGACTCTGTGGGATGCCTACGCACATCAGGTAGGAATTCTGGAAGTCACAGGAGAGTGGACTAACGGGGCCTAAACAAAGAAAGCACTTGGTTTTTTAAGTCAGAATCTCTCTGATTCCGACGGTGCTCGCGGTTGCGAGACGGCGGCTCCAGCTCCGGACATCACGTGTGCGTTCCAGGGAGGAATCCCTGGGGCTGAGCAAAGGCAGGGTCAGCTGCATCTGTCCCCTTCCCCAGAGAACAGCGTCTTCCCCAGACGGCGAGGTGTGCTGGTCCGTCTCCAGCTCCTGGCGTCCTGGGGTGGGAGGAAGGAGAGGAGTCCCGACCCGCAGCAGCTGCCAATTTCTGTGGTGTAAGCGCTCCTGCCGCCCCTGATTTCAAACATGACGCTGGTGGCTGTGTTCCCGGGAGGGGCCCCCGCAGCACCCCATCACGGAGCATTTCCATCATGCAGTTACCGCGGATGCAGAATTCTTCAAAGCAGATCGTTATAAGCTGCGGTAAAATAATTAGGAAGTCGTTCTGAGTATTCTCTTTGCTTTTAATATAATTTTTCATTGTAAGTTTGTATAACTTAATTGTTAAGTAATGACCGACTGTGTTGAACAACTGACTTGCAAAATTCCTGAACAATAAACACTCCGCTCTTTGTGGTCTGGGCCAAATGGGCCCCAGGGCACCGCGGCCAGAAGCCTTTCAGCGACTCCCCCTCTGTGTCCCGGGCCAGGACCGAGTCACATGACCACCTCCGGTTCCAGGGGAAGCTGGGAAGCCAGAAGCTCTTTGGGTCTCTATAGGGGAACACGGCCAGGGAAAGCGGGCTGGGGAGGAGAAAGGGCCAGCCACCCACCAATGGCCCCACAACAAAACGGTGCTGGGCTTTGGGAGGCCAGGGATGAGCCAGACAGACTCCACTTCCACTCTCATGGGGCTTTCATGCCAGGGGCCAGAGAGAGATTTAATTAATTTATTTTATTTATGTATTTATTTATCCTCACTGGAAGATATTGTCCCATTGATTTTTTAGAGGGAGTGGAAGAGAGAGGGAAAGACAGAAACATTGATGTAAGTGAAATACATCGATTGGTTGCCTCCTGCACGCACCCTTACCAGGGCCCAGGCCGGGGAGGAACCTCAACCGAGGTACGTGCCCTTGACTGGAATCGAACCCAGGACCCTTCAGTCTGCAGGCCGACACTCTATCCACTGAGCCAAACTGGCTAGGGCGCAAGAGAGAGATTTTAAACAAGTAAGTATGATTGTGACAACATTGCCAGAAAAAAGTCCAGGGTGCTATGAATGTATGTAATGGAGAGGGGACCTAGGTTGTTGTATTCATTTTTTTATTGTTTCATGACAACCACAAACATAGCAGCTGAAAACATATATTTTTATTGATTTCAGAGAGGAAGGGAAAGAGAGAGAGAGATAGAAACCTCAATGATGAGAGAGAATCATTGATTGACTGCCTCCTGCACACCCCCTACTGGGGATAAGCCCACAACCCAGGCATGTGCCCCTGACCAAGAATCGAACTTGGGACCCTTCAGTCCACAGGCCGACGCTCTATCCACTGAGCCAAGCCGACCAGGGCCATGCACTCATGTCTTAACTCAGTTTCTGGGAGTCGGCCTTTGGCACATTTGATCCCCCAGCACCGCATGCATGAGTGCAGGTGGAGCCTGGGACAGCTTCTAGCCTAGTGGTTCTCAACCTTCCTAATGCCGCGACCCTTTAATACAGTTCCTCATGTTGTGGTGACCCCCAATTTCATTGTTACAAATTGAACATCATTAAAGCATAGTGATTAATCACAAAAACAATATGTAATTTTATATGTGTTTTCCGATGGTCTTAGGCGACCCCTGTGAAAGGGTCGTTCGACCGCTAAAGGGGTCGCGACCCACAGGTTGAGAACCGCTGTTCTAGCCAATCAGTGTGGCAGAGGCAATGGGCTGTCGCTCCCATGGTCAGGTTACATTACTAAGAATTCATCCTTTACACTAGGCAGAGAGCTTCTACTTACATCCTTTGAAGCTCTCACCTCCACACTATGAGGCTCTGTAACCCCCGAGGACAGCCTCCTCCGGCCCACAGCCCCTCGGAAGTGAAATCTGGCACCAACCCGAGTGAGCTTGGAAGTGGACCTGACCCAGGCACGGCTCCAGGTGAGGACACGCCTGCCGAAACGCTCAGGGATGCCT